AACACTAGAGTAGGACTGGTTTTTATCTATTTTTTAACTATTTTTTAACAGGGGGATGAACTCGTTTTCAACTAGTCCTGGACCAGACTTTTGGGGGGACCGAACCAGACGCACCACTTAACATCCCTAGTTTGAACAAAAATGTTGTAAAAAACCGATTAAATTGTCATTTCAAAGTTATATTGTAACTACAATCGACCCTCCATATAGTCACCTCCCATACAATCACATCATATGTAATCACATTTTCATTTAGACCAAGTTATGATTTAATTTATAAGAAAAAAACCTCCATATAAGCACAACTCCATTATAAGCACATTTTTAAAAAAATTTACTATATGCCCAACTGTGTGATTGTATGGGAGGACGACTGTATTTCATAACTGTATCATTTGCACGAACGATTAAATTCAATATATTAATTTAAATTATGTTTATTATTCTTATCGTTTCAACTGCGACATTGTTAATTTTCATTTAATGTTGAGTCCTGTGATTTTGCTGTGGCGTGCTAACTGCGCCACCAACCTGGCACACATTTAATGGTGCGAGTAGCAGATGTTAAGTTCCGCAACTGCAGATGCAATGCGAGGATCATATTTTCTTATGTGTAGGCTCTGTGGCTGCAAGCAGTGCCTGGACTATGTATCTTCTTTTCTGGAATTCTGCAGCTATAAGCAGTACAAGGACCATGTTTAGGCTGCGACTGTAAACAGTGCAAATAGCATTTTTAGCATTCAGCACCTAGTACATCAGCTGCTAACTTTTAATGCAGAAGTTGAGTTGTAATTGTGGTCAATTGGTATTTTCTTCTTTAACATTTACATTATATGAAAAGTTTCTTGGACTTCTGTTCACATTATTCATCTGTGAATAATAGTTTAGTAGTTATTTCCTGTTTCTGTTAGTATATAAGCTAAAGCCAATTTGGTGATAGCAGACCTATTCCCATATATTTCTTCAACGCTTAGTAGTAATAAAGTCTCTGATCGAGCAATAATAATAGTGTCACGGTTCAAAATTTTAACCCATGACCTAGATGTGACTTTGTGGTATTAAAAGCTCAAATAACCCGAGCCACAAGAATATTGTGAGGCTTCTAGGTCACTGGTGAAGACATAGAGATACTGATCAATCCCGGTGGTTGGTAATTCCATCATATGATAAATATTAGATAGAATAGATGTATAAAAACTAGTTGTTGTGAGCAATATTTTGAGGTGGCTTTTCTAACACGGATTGCTCACAACCCGCACGTAATCGCTGAGAAACAATGCTGGGATTAAAAGAGCGCAGTAGTTTATAGTACATTAAAATGTATTTAAAGCCTGAGTTTTCGCATTAATAAAGTTTCCTCAAATCTCGATGTCTTTCATAATGGTTTATAATAAGAATCAATTTCTCAATAAGTTACATCTATATTATTGTTTATTTTCATTATATTATTTCGTTATCTTGCATTACATTGTTAGTTAACCCCAAATAATTAATTAAAGCTTGATTTAATTAAGTGATAACCCCGACCTCGCTTAAGTTCATTTCGTGATATCATATTATATGTACAGGCTGTAATGATAAATATTTATTCTCAGTTAAGTGAATTATTGGAGCTAAATTGGGGTTTCATTGTTATTTTTATTTGATTTATTATATAATTTTTTGCAAACATTGAAAAAGTGTGACAATTGCTTTTATTTAGATATAGCTGACTATTCAATTTATAACACCAAAATATAACCTAACTAACACCCCAAGGCTCCTAAAATCTTGAATTGGTAGGCTGAAAGAGGCGTAGAGAGACTTGGTCTGAGTCTCAAGGTCTGTTGGAGTCTTGCTGCGGCTTACTTAGGGTCCAAGATAAGTAAGTACCTTCTCGTAGTATACTGAAATGAGTTATGTGAATACTTCTACTTAATACCAAAGCAATGTTATATCTTGTAACCAGTGCGATTGAATTTTGATATTCGAAGACAATCGTTTAAGGTTCTTGACGATTGTCACGTGGTCACGTGGTTGGCGAAATTGAATAGCGATTATTTGGCGTAATAAGGGGCAATGGTATTAATGACGAACTTTATTAGGAGTTTATTGGATTGTGTATATAAGAATGAGTCTGATTATTAATCAATACTCTTTTCCTTTTACTTTTAGAACTAGAGGGCTTTTGGATTTACAAATATCACGGGGACAAGAATTAACGACAAACCGATTTTTATTATGATTGACTTATGATAGACAAATCTAAGGTCAAGGGAATTAACTACTGGCGAACCAACTTCTACTCGATACTTTTTCGAAGTTAAGAACTCAATTGAGTTGTCTTTATTCATGCCAAAAGATAGGTCTTTAAATACTTTTTGACCTTTACTGCGTACATTGTAGTTGCGTATTCTAATTTATATTATTCTATTTCTTTAGCTATGATCCAGCTAATTTACAAGTATATAGGGGACTTTTTGGATACAAATTTGTATCCGCTTTGATTTTGGATACAGATTTGTATCCGCTTAGACTTGGATACGAATTCGTATTTGCTTAGACTTAGATACGAATTTGTATCTACAATGTTTTATTGTTATTCTAACTACTTTATATAAAAATAAATAAATAAAAAAAATAGATATATAATTCGAAGAGAAAAAAAAAAATCGTGACCTTCCGGCCCTTCACAACATGCACAGATCTGCACTAAAAAAAAATTCTAATATATATTCAAAAACAAACCTAAAAGTATACAAAGTAATAATATTTAAAACTTTCGAAACCATGCATAATCTAAACTTTGAACTATTATATCTAATTCTTATCTTGATCTTAAACTGCATCCTAACCCTAAATTTTAGCCAAACTTATATGTATCACCACAGGTGATTATTTGATTTTTATAATTTAAATAAATTAAAAAAAAACACAATTTAGAAAATTATCAAATATCATCTGGAATTTCTATACTATCAGCAGATCTACTAACAATTATTTTCGACATAGCATAAGGTTTACTTCTATATTTATTCTTCATTTTAGTTCTTTCAATTACCGGTAAAGGTGAATTTTCATTGATATTATTACTCTCAGAAAATTGTTTCTCAATTTCATCTTCAATATTTTCAGCAATAAAGATACCATTAATTTCGTCAAAAGAAATATAACAATTATCATAAAAATTTTTATTTAAAATACCTAACCATTCATCTAATTTATTAATTATTTCTTTAGTCATAGGTCTTTTTTTTTGGATCTAAATTCATGCATTGATTTGCCAATTCAGCATAACAATCAGGAGTTCCAGGGGCAAAACCTGGTCGCAATCCATTATAAATCTTAACTGCAAGTTCTGTATCGAATTCATGACTATCAAAAGGTCTTTGGCCGACTGTCATTTCTGCCATAATTACACCAAAAGAATAAATATTTGATGCTTTTGTATATGATGGTTTTTTTTTTAAAAAACTTCTGGAGCAATATAAGGCAAGACACCATAAACATGATCTTCTTGTTTATCTTAATCAAATGGTTTTGATAAACCTAAATCAGTAATATATGCTTCATAATCTTCTTTTAACAAAATATTTCCTGGATGTAAATCTCGATGCAAATAATTTTTAGAATGAATAAAATCAAGATTTCTTATAACATCATAGAGAATTTTTAATTTAATTTTCCATTCAAGTTTGAATAAATTAATTAAATTATTACTCAATGAACCCTTTTTTGCATAACTTAATACTAAGATATAATCATCTGTTTTTTTATCTTTTGATATTCCTAAATATTGCCCAAAACTATGATAAGCTTTTAACTAAAAAGGTAAAAAAATATTAAGTTTAAATTATAATAATTATCCTATAATATTAAATAAAATACTTACTTCATTTATAAATAATTTTGTATCTTTGTTTGAATTTTTTATAATTTTAATTGCTACCTCTTCATAAGATCCATATCGTGATTTAAAAACTGTAGAAAATCCTCCTTCTCGATTTCTTCAATATTTTCGAAACTCTCATATGGTATCCAATGAAAAAAATTTGGTTTATCAACATAATAAAATTCAGAAATAGCTGCTTTTAAAAACCATTCAAAAGCAACATCTATATCTTTTTTAACAATAATTCCTTTATAATAATATTCACCAAACCTATACATTGCACAAGCATACCCTAAATTAGCAGCTTTTTGATAATATTCAACCGCTTTATTTTCGTCCTGTAGATCTGTTTCAGTTTGATAAATATATCCGGCACTATATATTGCTACATCATTATTCATACTAGCAGATTTTAGATAATATTCCAATGCTTTATATTTGTTTACTTCAACTCCAATTCCATAATAATAACAATATCCACATTATTTATTCCAACAGAGTCTCCAATTTCTGCAGATTTTAGATAATAAATAAATGCCTTATTTTCATCCTTTTCAACTCCATTACCATTTTGATAACATTCTCAAATATTATTTATTCCATGAATATTACCCATGTCTGCAGCTTTTTGATAATATTCAAATGCTTTATATTCGTCCACTTCAACTCCAATTCCATTATTATAACAATATCCAACATTATTTATTCCATCTGTATTACCCAAATTTGCAGCTTTTAAATAATATTCAAATGCCTTTTGATGGTTTTTTTAACTCCGATTCCAAATTGTTGACACATTCCAAGTGAACATAAATGATCCAAATTAGCAGCATTTCTTAAATATTCAAAAGCTACATTTCTATCTGTATTAAAGTATTTCATTCCAAGTTGATAAAGCTCTTCGGCATCTTGATTCATTGTTAAAAATAAAAAAAAGTATGTTTTATAATTCACATGTTTTCATATTTATTCAAGTTTCTATCTTAATATTTTGCAAAACTATTGTATTACCATATCACCAAGTTTTTGTCAAACACATAGTTCCATAAATATTCGATCTTTAATCATTTGCATACGAAATTAATATTTAAATTTTTAATATTAAAATAAATATTTCATTTCTTTCAGAATTATTATACAAAAATAATAAATATATATTAAATAAAAATTGATATTGTAGAAATATATTATATCATTAATTTTGAGTGATGCACAAGCTTTTAAAATTTTACTGCGCTTTTTTTATTTTTATTTAATTTTTTTTTTAAAACCCCTAACAAAATTAGTCGAGGACGTAGTTTACTACGCTACTGTTATCTGCTAATGATCACTCATCATACGATAATCTACAAAAATTTCTTTAAATTTCCACTGAAAATATTAATATTTCTAAAGATTTCCTGCCGAATATAATTTTTCTAGTATAATGTCTATTGTTTTATTAGATCTTTCGGTTGGTTGACTAAATAAATAATAAAATTGTTTTTTTATTTAACTATGCACTCATGAATTTTGAATGAATAATCTTACTAGTAACCTGTTATCTTAAATGTTTAAAGCTATTTTTGAATTTTACAGTCAAATAGGATTCAAAAATAGCATTATGGTAAGTATTTAAATTAGCCAGCTATTATTGAGATATCTTCGCTCAAAGCTCGAAAACACAGTGATAATATTAAACTAATAGAATAAAATTTACATATAAATTCGTAGACTAATATAATTTTTAGCCAGTTATTAGACTTGTATTCTAATACTACAATATATTCAAATTCCCGATTCCCAGATTTCCATATAGCATAAAATTTTTGGTCATAGTAATTTTGAAAGCGCATTAATTTTGTCTATTGTATTTCGGACGTGCAATTCAGTGGCGTGCACAATTCTTCAATTAAGGTCTACTATTCTGGAAAGGAATAGGTTATGCATTTTTTTTGTGAAGAAATCTCATTCCCATTTTTATATTATTACAGAAACCTGCAAAAAGGAAAAGCAAGACGAAAACGAAAATCAATTACCGGGTAGTTTCAAGAACAGTGAACCCAGTGATCATCCCATCACATAATAAATCATTCGGCCTAAGTTAGGGTTTGTGTTAGGTGATACGTGTTAGTTTAGGCCGATTTGTTAGTGCTAGTAAACAAATGACGTAATTGCATAATTTCATGTGATGTGATGATTACTGGGTTCATTTTTCTTGAAGTGTTATAAATCTGCCATTACACTTTTTTGCCTGCAAAAAGGCGACGACCCACTGTCTGCGTTTCCAATCAAATTCAGAAGTCCATGTCATTGTATTTTCAGCAAGAAAATCAAGTAAAGATTAGGAACTTCAATATTCAGAATAGCAAAAGAAGACCTATAATGATGTTGTTACACCTGGAGTTGACCTCTTATATACAACTCAGGGAACTAACAAATCAGTAGTATGAAGACTAAGATTCGGGAGATTTGGCGGGTTAAGAAGCGTCTCTAGAAGACTTATTAAAGAGGTTTTACTAGGCTTTATCAAAAGAGGCAACAACTCAATCGTATATGAAGATACAAAGGATTGTAAACAACACAACAAATAATGAATCATGAGTCTCATGTGATCTCAATTGTTAAGATTCTTAATGAACTAACTCAAACAGGGGTTTTGTGTATAAAGACACAAGACTTGTTTATTAATAAATTTATATGTTTCGATATGAAACAGAAATGAAATATAACAAGAGTAACTATATAAAGATAGTTACAGGTACAACTGGAGAATTCAAAATTATCTATTAAAGAAAATATATATATGAAGATATATAAATGTTAAAAGGAATCAAAGTCTGAGGAAAACTACACAGAGCAGAATTGCGGCCTTTAAATACCGAAAGCAACTACATAATTAGTTACAGTAAACAACTAACATACTATTGCTATCTATCAATCATATATCCTTCCCATCGCTTACTCTTTTTAACTCCAACTCCTTCACTATTCTTTCAGCTACTTGCTTTATTATCTTCACTAATCTTTCCTGATATTACTTCATTGCTCTTTTGAAGGCACAAGCTAATATACCTTTTCTGGCCAATCTTACCTGATATTGAGGCCTGCTAATTGTTAAGATTATACTTACAGCAGTAGCTATTGGGCCCATTTGGGAGTATTATTAATGTCACTTCACATGTTCTGTTATCAGAGCAAAGATCTATGGGGTAATTATTCTTTGATTATTTTCAGTCATACAGTTCCAGGGTCTAGCTGATTTACTGCAGGATCATTAGTTATGTTGATCAAGAACTTCTTTAAACTGTTGATATGTGACTTGTGACTTTTTTGTAACATAGCTGTGAATCACATGTTTCTAAGATCCTGATATGGATAGGGGCCAAATTTACACTTAACAATTACTTCCCCCTTTAATCATGAGTATCTGTGAATGAATACGTAAGTATAGTCCCAGGTTGGTGGTGATAATAGTTACCAATCATAAATATTTTATTGGCATTGTTCATATAAGAAGGATATATTTGATAGTCAATTATGATATCCTTTGGGCAATGGTATTGTTTAAAATTTTAAGACCTATTCACTGCTTTTCATGATACCTTTTAAATAAAAAGGCATTCTGCAGAATATTCAGGTCATGACCTTCTATTGTTTGTAGTTTATAGACATTCTGTGCAACTCTCTTTACAATTATATAAGAGCCTAACCATCATGGTAAGAGCTTCTCAGAATAATGGTTAGCTTTGGCAGCATCAAATAATAAAACTTTATCCCCTATATTAAATACTCTGACCACTTTCTTTAACCTTTTATCCCAATAGAACTTTTGATGTTTCTGTGCTTTGTTTATATTTTTCTTGGCCATGGATTGTTTAATTAGGAGTTCTTCTACTATAGTTGTCAATCAATCGCTGAGATTTCCTCTCACTACTCCATTGGCAGTAATATCAAGATATTTAGCTTCCCAACTATACATTAAGTAGAACAGAGTGAATCTTGTAGTGGATTGCTTAGCGGTCTTATAAGCAAACAATACCGATGAGATTAGTGCATCTCATTCTTTATCTTGATTTACCAATTTGGCTAATGATTCGCACGATGTGCGATTATATCTTTTGACTAGGCTGTTGGTCTGAGGATGATATAGTGTGGACAACAAATGCTTAATTCTCATTTGTTGTATGAACCATATCATTGTTGAAATAAAGCCCTCTATCAGTTGCTATTTGGGCCAGACACCCATGTTGGCTGATAATCTCTTGGTAAATAAAGTTAGCAGTTTGGTAGGCTGTTGCATCTAGTGTGGCTTTCACTCATGGCCACTTGGTTATATAGTTGACTATGACTATAATATATCAGTTTCTATTAATGGTTTGGTCTAAGAGTTCAACAAAATTAATCCTAATTTTGTGAAAGGGGGATTCAACCAGGATTGGTTGTAACAGGTTTTTGATATGATATCTTCCCCATCTTTGGCACTAATCACAAGCTTGAACATATTTTTGAATATGTTCATATATCTGGGGCTAGTGATATTGGTCTCTTATCTTTTCAAACATTTTTCTATCTCTAGATGAGCTTCTAAGGAATAGTTATGCATCAGATACAAGATGGAATCTGCCTCATCCAGTTGGATTACTTTTAGTAGCTAATTCTTAGTTCACCTTTTGCGATCCTTCTTATAGAGTAGGTAGTTGTAGATTATATAGAATTTGCTTTGTGCTTCTAATCTTTGTTTTTGCCATGCTATAAAATTAGACGAGTAATTGGCTATTTCTAAAAAGATTTTGATTTGGTTATACTTGGTGGGGTCTATTTTGCAATAATTAGATAATAAGAAAAGAAAAAAAAATAATAAATAGAAAAAAAAATACAAAAAGAAAAAAAAACGATTAGAGGAAAATTAGATTATATTGCTCCTTGTAATTATTGCTGTACAGTTGCAGAGACTGACTTGCAAGGTTTAATGTTATTTGAGAATAAAAAGATATATGGATACCACTTAAAGACACACAACAGGGTTTGGAACCTTTTACCAAACAGAATTGTACAAGTAAGTGTCTATAAAGTTATTATGTTCATCTAACTGTTGGGTAGTTGGGATATGTAGTGGGTGCAACCACTATAGTCAGTTACATATAGTGTTTTTAACTAGTTCCTGTGGTACATGATCCCCCAAAAGTGAATAGTCAGGTGGAAACAAAATTCTATCAAGTGAGATATCGAGCCTGGTACTACTGTTCTGGCCTAACTCAATATATAGTATCTCAATTCTTATAACTATTCTGGTGTCTAACAAGGATTCCCACATCTTGACAATCTTTGCCTCATAATCAGGTGTAGACCAGCAACATTTCACTACTTCTGTAATAGGATAACTCTTAATCGTGACCCACAATTTAAGGTCATATTTACTCTTAATGCAATCATTAGAGGGGGAGTAAAGTTTGTCACCACACCAACACAATGTAGTAGAACCTCTCCAGTCTCTAGACAGGTATTTTTCTTTAGTCCTCTGACTCAATCAAGCACTGATATGCTCAATATAATACCAAGTACACCTTTGCTCATCAAACCTAATACTATTGGGCATAAATTCTACTTCTGATAGAGGTATATCTTATAAAGTAATGCTGGTGGTGAATCAGGTATTAGTGTCTCAATTATTTTGGCCAGGATTTCCTTACCCAGGTCGTTCTCTACCACCCTGTCTACTATATACTATTTCTTTATTCTCTTCATTAGATAAGCGTGATAGAGCATCTGCATTATATGTTTGCGGCCTAGTCTATGAATAATTGTGAAGTTGTAAGGTTCCAACCTCATAATCCAATGGGCACATTTTCTCTTCAACTCTGAAGTCCTTAGTCATTGTAGAGCTGAATGATCAGTTATAAGATAGAATGGTTTTGCCCCTAGATATTGATAGAAGTGTTCAATGACCCAGATAACTGCAAGATATTCTAACTCAGGGACAGAATAATTTTGTTTATTTCTATTTAATCTACGACTTGTATAGACAATGATATATTCTCTTTTATTATCATCTAACTGGGCCAATACTGCTTCCAATTCTGAGGTTGAGACATCAGTATGAAGATAGAATAGGTAGCTAAAGTCAGGATACTGTAAAATTGAAGAAATAGTTAGGTAGTCCTTAAGAACTTGAAAAGCCTCATTCTGAGCCTTGTTCCAATAATACAGCTCATCCTTTCGCAAGAGTAAATTTAAGGGTCTAGCAATCTTGAAAAACCTATCTACGAACTTCTGATAATACGATGCCAACCCCAAGAATGTTTGAGCCTGTTTTAGGGTAACTAGCACCAGAAATTCCTAATTTGTTTGACCTTATTCTCATCTGGTAGGATACCTTAGTCACTAATTATATGCTCTAGAAAATGAATTTGATTATAGAAGAAGAAATACTTCTTCAGATTTAACTTTAAATTTGCCTCTTCTATTCTATTAAAAACCTGTTGGAGGTGTTCTAGGTGCTCTTCAAAGGTTTTTAAGTAAATAATAATATTGCCTAGATAAATGACAAGGAAATAGTTAATGAAAGGTTCAAAAATATAATTTATTAGCCATTAGAAGGTTGATAGCGCATTACATAACCCAAATGGCATAACATTAAAAGTATAAGTGCCAAATTTAGTAATAAATACTATTTTCTTTATATTCTCTGACTTTATAGCAACCTGCCAATACCCACTAGCAAGGTCAAGACTAGTGAATTACTTGGCTCCTTTGAACACAGTTAATATTTTATTGACATTGGAAAGGGGTAAATGTCTTTTTCAATTATTGCATTGAGCTTGTGGTAGTCAATGCAAATTCACTTAGATCTATTTTTCTTTGGGACTAACACTACTGGGGAAGCCCATAGGCTCTTAATAGGGCTTACAATACCTTGCTCTTTTATAGCAAGAATTTTTTCCTTAAGGAATTCTTAGTCATCTAGGGACATACTATATAGTTGCTATTTAATTGGTCGGGCATTACCAGTATCTATCTTGTGACACACCAAATTAGTGTAATCTAGCCCTACTGTTTGATCACTTTTGCTAATTTTCTCCACAAAATTATAGATATTACTATGCAATATTTCTATAGCTTGCTCTTGCTGTTTCGGTGATATATTACAACTGACATCAAACAAAATTTTATTATCATCTTGGGCACCTTCAGATGACTCAACTAGATACACAGCCAGGTTCTTATCATTTCACGGGTTATAATAAAGCTTATCCTTATCTGATGAACAACTATCAGTATAAAAAGCCTCTTGAGGCTTCTTATTATCACCTTCTAATTTATCTATACACTCCTCTTTGTTCGTAAACTCTTCTAACTCTTGGACCAGATTACTGTTACTAACATGGGTGGCATTAATAGTGACTTGCTAGCCTAAATACTTCACATGCAGGGTATTACTGCCAAAGTCTAACTTGGCATGAGACTTACTAAACCAATTTGTCTCTAACAATAATGTCTCTTCCTGAGACTCAATGACTTGTAGATCTATTAGAATGACTAAGTCCTGTAAACATATCTTTACCTGGCTTACTATACCTAATGCCCTAGTCCTATTACTATTAGCAATTACGACTACTGTCTTGGATGGCCTATCAATAGCTAGACGAAGCTTCTTTATCAATTTTTGGATAATAATACTCACAGCAGCTCCAGAATCCAAGATAGCTACTACTAGGATGCCTCTGATCTAAACATGGTATTGCATGGTGATTATCTTATAAGGTTATTGGCTTTCAAATAGTTAGATTCAATGCCTGAGGTCTTTTTTTACCTTAGAGCTTTAGCAAGGTTCTGCCTCTGGTTAGAATATCGTAACAACTGTCTATAAGTGACTTTTGCTAGGGCTTTTAGTAGATCTTCTATTATATTATACAAACTCAACTGATCAACTACTAATGGCAATCATTTCTTCACGATCTTCTTTATCAGGGTAGCTGGGGGTACATATTCCTCTATCTCTATTGGAGCTTCTTGTTCTTCTGGTACTTGTACCTTAGGAGCTTTGCTCCTCAATACATGCTCTTTCTTGGATTTTAATTGCTTCTGTTTTTCTCTTTGACCTTTTTAGTCTGTAGTATATGGTTGGGGTCTTGTCACATAGACCTCCTCTTCAGCTTCACTGTCATACTCCGCATCGATGAAGTTGATATTCCTATCATGGCCTTCAATATTATTGGGTCTTTTCAAGAGTCAATAATGCTGTTCTTTTAAGGCCGTTCGCTCTGATAAACACTCCTAGACATAATGCCCTAGTTTATCACACTTATAATAGTGATACTTAGGGGTTAGACTTTGTGCCTACTTCTTTCATGGCATGGTGGGTTTTGGAGTCTTACTTTCTGTCTGAGCTACTAAAGCCAAAGCAATAGTGGCATAGTTGAAGCTCATCTATTGTATTTGCTAGGTTAACTGCTCTATTTCTTTTTTGTAGTTCCTAGAGTACTTGTAGGGACTAGATTAGCATTAGTGATAAAATCGTTACCTTGTTTATAGGTTCACGCTAACTCTAATATTTTATTCAAATCGGCCAGATTATGTATCAAAATAACTGGAAAAAGATCTATGCGAAGACCCTTCTTGAAATCGTACAATTTCTGGGTTCTTGTAAATTCATTTTAGGTTCTAGTCTTTTAACTAGACATCTAAACCTACTATAGTAAGTTTTAATAGATTCTCTGAGCAACTGTTTTAGATCATTCAGCTTGGCTATCCACTTATTAGTCCAATGTTGGGTACAAAAACTATTCTTAAAAGCATCTGATATGGCTGTCCAATTGCCATCAGGATCAGCTGGGCTGGCTGCAAGTGGGTTATTGATAAAATATACCTGTTGCCATTCAGCTGCATTGCTTTGTAAGAATTCTCGCAAGATTTTTTATTTTCTCCTGAAGCTCCACTTGTTGGCCATGGCAGCTTTCTCGAAACTTTCAATCCATGCTTAAGGGTCCTGGTTGCCATATCCTAAGAATGACTCGATTCTCAAGAGGATGCTTTCTTACTAGTTGGCTTGGAGATAATCCAAGACTGCCTATGCATTGATTATGGGTTGTATTATAGGTGACAGAGGTGGTGTTTGAAATAATTAATCTAACTCTAAGTCAAATTCAGATGTTGTTGATCTGGGGTTGATGTTTGCAGATAAAGAACATCAAAAGGATCTAAATCAAATCCATTTGTTTGTTGGTATGCTTGCTGTAATTGAGCAGCTAGAGTATCGAAGTTGGGATCTTCATCATACTGACAAGTGTATATGAGGGCAAGGAAGTATTCTTCTGTTTGGTTCTCAATTTGTCCTAATCTTTAGAAGATATTAAGTGTACTGTTAGTGTAGGATTGTACGGGATATTCTATGGCAAACCAAGTCCAAAACTTGATAAACTGTATAGAGGTGTGTGATGCAACTGGATAACGCAGTAAACAAGAGAAATCTGCAGCGGCTTGGTGAATAAGTTGCCGGGTTTGTGGTCCAGTACCAGAATAGAGAGTATGCTGATAGTTGTGTTGATTGTTTCTATAATTAAACTCAGCATGGATGACCATACAATACTTTATAGTTTATTCTTAACAATAGAGACTGTATCTCGCAGTTACCACCACAATGTTATATCTGAAGTTGACCTCTTATATACAACTCAGAAAACTAATGAATTAGTAGTATGAAGACTAAGATTCAGGAGATTTGGCAGGTTAAGAAGCATCTTTAGAAAACTTATTAAAGAGATTTTACTAAGACTTTATCGAAAGAGGCAACAACTCAATCATATATAAAGATACAAAGAATTGTAAATGACACAACAAATAATGAATCACGAGTCTCATATGATCTCGATCATTAAGATTCTTAACAAACTAACTCAAACAGGGGTTTTGTGTATGAAGACACAAGACTTGTTTATTAATAAATTTATATGTTTCGATATGAAACAGAAACGAAATATAACAAGAGTAACTATATGAAGATAGTTACAGGTACAACTGGAGAATTCAAAATTATCTATTAAGAAAAATATATATATGAAGATATATAAATGTTAAAAGGAATCAAAGTCTGAGGAAAACTACACAGAGCAGAATTGCGGCCTTTAAATACCGAAAGCAACTACATAATTAGTTACAGTAAACAACTAACATACTATTGCTATCTATCGATCATATATCCTTCCTGTCGCTCACTCTTTTTAACTCCAACTCCTTCACTATTCTTTCAGCTGCTTGCTTTATTATCTTCACTAATCTTTCCCGATATTACTTCATTGCTCTTTTGAAGGCACAAGCTAACCTACCTTTCCTGGCCAATCTTGCTAATTGTTAAGATTATACTTATAGCAGCAGCGATCGGGCCTGTTTGGGAGTGTTATTGATGTTGCTTCACACATTCTGTTATTAGTATCGTGACTGATAAGGCAATAGAGCAAAGATCCATGGGGTGATTATCCTTTGATCATTTTTGATCATACAGTTCCAAGGTCCAACCGATCTACTGCAGGGTTGTTGGTTACGTTAATCAAGTGCTTCTTTAAGCTGTTGATATGTGACTTGTGACTCTTTTGTGACATAGCTGTGGATCACATGCTCCCGAGATCCTGATACAGATAGGAGCCAAATTTACACTTAACAATTACTCCCCCTTTAATCATGAGCTTCTGCGAATGGATATGTAAGTATTGTCCCAGGTTGGTGGCGGTAATAGTTACCAACTATATAAGAAGAATATATTTGATGGTTAATTATGACATCCTTCAGGCAATGGTATTGTTTAAAATGTTAAGACCCATTTACTGCCTTTCATAATACCTTTTCAATAAAAAAGCATTCTGCGGGATATTCAGGTCATAACCTTCCATTGTTTGTAGTTTATAGACATCCTGTGCAACTCTCTTTACAATTATATAAGAGCCTAACCATCATGGTGAGAGCTTCCCAGAATGACAGTTAGCTTTGGCAGCATCAAATAATAAAACTTTATCTCCTATATTAAATACTCTGACTACTTTTTTTAACCTTTTATCTCAATGGAACTTTTGTCATTCCTGTGTTTTGTTTATATTTTCCTTGGCCATGAATCATTTAATTAGGAGTTCTTCTGCTATAGCTATCAACCGATCGATGAGATTTCCTCTTGCTACTCCATCAGCAGTAATATCAGGATATTTAGCTTCCCACCTATACATTAAGTAGAACAGAATAAATCTTGTAGTGGATTGTTTAGTGGTTCTATAAGCAAACAATATTGATGGGATTAGCACATCTCATTTTTTACTTTAATTTATCAATTTGGCCAATGATTCATACAAAGTGTGATTATATCTTTTGACTAGACCATTGGTCTGAAGATGATATGGTGTAGAAAACAAATGCTTAATTTCTATTTGTTGTGTAAATAGCGAACTATATCATTGTTGAAATGAAGCTCTCTATCAGTTACTATTTGGCTAGACACTTATGTCAGCTAATAATCTCTTGGTAAATAAAGTTAGCAGTTTGGTAGGTTGTTGTATCCAGTGTGGCTTTCGCTTCTGGCCACTTGGTCATATAGTCAACTACAACTATAATATATTAGTTTCTACTGATAGTTGGGTCTAAGGGTCTAACAAAATCGATTTCAATTTTGTGAAAGGGAGATTCAACCAGGATCAGTTGTAACAGACTTTGATATGATATCCTCCCTGCCTTTGATACTGATCACAAGCTTGAACATATTTTTGAATATGTTCATATATCTGGGGCCAGTAATATCGGTCTCTTATTTTCTCAAACATCTTTTCCTCCCTAGATGAGCTCCTAAGAGATGGTCATACATCAGATACAAGATAGAATTTCCTTATCTAGTTGGATTACTCTCAGTAGTTGATTCTTAGTTCACCTTCTGTGATCTCTCTTATAAAGTAGGTAGTTGTAAATTACATAGAATTTGCTTTGTGCTTCTAATCTTTGTTTTTGCTGTGCTGTAAAATTAGACAGGTAATTGGCTATTTCTAAAAAGGTTCTGATTTGGTTATACTTGGTGGGGTCCATTTTGCAATAATTAGATAACAAAAAAAAATAATAATAAATAAGAAAAAAAATACAAAAAGAAAAAAAATAATTAGAGGAAGATTAGATTATATTGCTCCTTGTAATTATTGCTGTATAGTTGCAAAGACTGACTTGCAAGGTTTAATGTTATTTGAGGACAGAAAGATATGTGAATACCACTTAAAGATACAAAACAGGGTTTGGAACCTTCGACCAAACCAAAATGCACAAGTAAGTGTCTATAAAGTTATTATGTTCATCCAACTGTCAAGTAGTTGAGGTATGTAGTGGGTGCAACCACCATGGTCGGTTATATATAGTGTCTTCAACTGGTTCCTGTAGTACATGATCCCCTAAAGGTGAATAGTCAAGTGGAAACAAAATTCTATCAAGTGAGATATTGAGCCTGGTACTACTGTTCTGGCCCAACTCAATATATGGTGTCTCAATTCTTATAACTGTTCTGGTGTCTGACAAGGATTCTCATATCTCAGCAATCTTTGTCTTATAATTAGGCATAGACCAGTAACATTTTGCCACTTTTGTAATAGGGTAACTTATAACTGTGACCCACAATTTAAGGTTATATTTATACTTAATACAATCATCAGAGGGGGATAAAGTTTGTCACCACACCAACACTTTGCAGTAGGACCTCTCCAGTCTCTAGACAAATGTTTTTCTTTAGTTCTCTGGCTCAATTGAGCACAAATATGCTCAATATAATACCAAGTGCACCTTTGCCTGTCAAACCTAATACTATTAAGTATAAATTCTACTTGCTGATAGGGGTATATCCTATAAAGTGATGCTATTGGTGGATCAGGTCTTAGTATCTCAATTATTTTGGCCAGGATTTCCTTACCCAGGTCGTCTTCTACCTCCCTGTCTATCATATATACTATTTCTTCATTCTCTTTATTGGATAAGTATGATAGGGCATCCACGTTATTATGTTTGTGGCCTGGTCTATGAATAATTGTGAAGTTGTAAGGTTTTAACCTCATGATCCAATGGGCATGTTTTTCCTTCAACTCTGAAGTCCTTAGCTATTATAGAGCTGAATGATTAGTGATGAGATAGAATAGTTTTGCCTCTAGATATTGGTGGAAGTGTTCAATGGTCCAGATAACTATGAGACAGTCTAACTTGGAAACAGAATAGTTTTGTTCATTTCTATTTAAGCTACGACTTGTGTAGATGATGACATATTCTCTTTTATTATCATCTAACTGGGCCAATACTGCTTCCAACCCTGAGGTTGAGGCATTAGTATAAAAATAGAATGGCGGTTAAAGTCAAAATACTGTAAAATTGGAGAAGTGGTTAGGCGATTCTTAAGGACTTGAAAAGCCTTGTTCTAAGCCTTGGTCCAACAATATTGCTTATCCTTTCACAAGAGAAAATTTAAGGGTCTAGCAATCTTAGAAAACCTATCTATAAACTTCTGGTAATATAATGCCAACCTCCAAGAATGATCAAACCTGTTTTGAGTAACTGGTACTAGAAATTCCCTAATTTGTTTGACCTTATTCTCATTCGGTAGGATACCTTGTCAATAATAATATGCTCTAGAAAATAGATTTGATTATAGAAAAAAGAACACTTCTTTGAATTTAACTTTAGATTTGCCTCCTCTATTCTATTAAAAACCTGTTAGAGGTGTTTTAGGTGCTCTTCAAAGATTTTTGAGAAAATAGTAATATCATTTAGATAGATGACAAGGAAATAGTTAATGAAGAGTTTGAAAATATAATTTATCAGCCGTTGAAAGGTTGATGGCACATTATATAACCCAAATGGCATAATATTGAAGGCATAAGTGCTGAATTTAGTAATAAATGCTATTTTCTTTATATCTTCTGGCTTTATAGCAAGCTGCCAATACCCACTGGCAAGGTCAAGACTAGTGAACCACTTGGCTCCTTTAAACACAGTCAATATTTCATTAATATTGGGAAGGTAATAAATGTTTTTTTTGGTTAATACAATGAGCTTGTGGTAATTAATGCAAATTTGCTTGGATCCATTTTTCTTTAAAACAACACCACTGGGGAAGTTTATAGGCTCATAATAGGGCTTACAATACCTTGCTCCTTCATAGCAAAAATTTCTTCCTTAAGAAATTCTTGGTCATCAAGAGACATACCATATAATTGCTGTTTAATTGGTCAGGTATTACTAGTATTTATCTCATAACAAACCAAATTAGTATAACCTAGCTCTACTGTTTGACTACTTTTGCTAATTTTCTCCGCAAAATTATAAATATTACTATGCAATATTTCTACAGCTTGCTCTTGCTGTTTTGGTGATAGATCACAACTGAAATCAACCAAAATTTTATTATTATCTTGAGCACCTTCAGATGACTCAGCTAGATACACAGCCAGGTTTTTGTTATTTTATGAGTTATAATAAAGCTTATCCTTATCTGAAGAACAACTATCAGTATAAAAAGCCTCTTGGGGCTTCTTATCTTCATCACTTCTAATTCATCTATCCACTTCTCTTAGTTCATAAACTCTTCTAACTCTTGGACTAGATTACTGTTACTAACATGGGTAGCATTAATAGTAACTTGCTGGCCTAAATACTTCACATGCAGAGTATTACTACCAAAGTCTAACTTGACACAGGACTTACTAAACCAATCTGTCTTTAACAATAATGTCTCTTCCTGGACTCAATGACTTGTAAATCTATCAGAATGACTAAGTCCTGTAAACATATCTTTACTTGGCTTACTACATCTAATGCCCTAGCCCTATTACTATTAGTAGTTATGACTACTGTCTTGGATGGCCTATTAATAGCTAGATAAAGCTTCTTAATCAATTTTGGATAATAATATTCACAGCACTTCAGAATCCAAGATGGCTACTGCTGGGGTGCCTCTGATCTGAACATGGTATCACATAGTAATTGTCTTATAAGGTTATTTGCTTTCAAATGGTTAGCTTCAGTGCCTGCAGCCTTTTTTTGCCTCAGAGCTTTGGCAAGGTTAGGATATTGTAACAACTGTCTATAAGTGACTTTTGCTAGGGCTTTCAGTAAATTTTCTGATATGTCATATAGACTCAACTAATAGACTACTAATGGCAATTGTTTCTTCATGATCTTCTTTATCAGGGTGGCTGGGGTATATATTTCTCTACCTCTATTGGAGCTTCTTGTCCTTCTGGTACTTGTACCTTAGGAGCTTTGCCCCTCAATGCATGCTTCTTTCTAGATTCTAATTGCTTCTGTTTTTTTTTTTGACCTTTCTGGTCTGTGTTATATAGTTGGGGTCTTGCTACATAGACCTCCTCTTTAGCTTCACTATTATACTCCGCATTTGATGAAGTTGATATTTCTATCATGGCTTTCAACGTTATTAGGTCTTTTCAAGAGTTGATAATACTGTTCTCTTGGAACTATTTACTTTGATAAACACTCCCAGGCATAATATCCTAGTTCATTGCACTTATAATAGTAATACTTAGGGGTCTTGCTTTGTGGCCACTCCTTTCATGGCTTGGTGGGTTTTGGAGTCCTACTTTCTGTCTGAGCCACTAAAGCTGAAGCAATAGTGGCAGAGTTGAGGCTTATCTATTGCATCTGCTAGTTTAACTACTCTATTTCTCTTTCATAGTTACTAGAGATACTTGTTGGGACTGGATTAGCATTATTGATAAAATCAGTACCTTGTTTATAGATTTGTACCAACTCTAATATTTTATTCAGATCAGCCAAATTATGTATCAAAATAACTAGAAGAAGATTTGTGCAGAAACTCTTCTTGAAATAGTACAATTTCTGGAGGTCTTGTAAATTTATTCTAGATTTTAGTCTCTTAACTAGATGTCTAAATCTACTATAGTAAGTTTCAATAGATTTTTTAGGCAACTGTTGCAGGGCGTTCAGCTCGGCTATCCACTTATTAGTCCAATCTTGAGTACAAAATCTATTCTTAAAGACATCTGATATGGCTGTCCAATCGCTATCAGGTTCAGCTAGGTTGGCTGTGAGTGGATTATTGGTAAAATATATCTGTTGCCATTTATCTGCATTGCTTTGTAAAAATGCTAGCAAGATTTCTTATTTTCTTCTAGAGCTCCACTTGTTGCCATGGCAGCTTTCTCAAAACTTTCAATCCATGCTTAAGGGTTCTGGGTGCTATCTTCTAAGAATGGTTCAATTCTCAAGAGGATGCTATCTTACTAGTTGGCTTGGAGGTAGTCTAAAACAGCTTGTATATTGGCTATAGGTTGAAATTTTGGTAATAAGGGTATGGTTTGAAATAGTTTATCAAACTCTAAATCTGATTCAGATGTTATTGATTTGAAAGTAGCTATTGTTGCAGGCAAAAACGGAGAGTCTGTTGCTAAAAGACCAAGAATCTTGTATAATATTAGTTTTAGGCTTTAGTAGAGGTATGTATATGATTTGGCGAGTATCAATTTATTCTCTAAGGGTTTTGTTTATTTTTAAAAGACGAATTTACTAACACTTGATCTTTG